CATATACCTCTTTCTAGAAATCCTTACGCCGTTCCAATTAGCTGTCGTTTAATGTTTCGGTGCACGTATTTAGAAATATCAAGATTTGAAGAAAAAGACTAAAATACCCTTCCCACTAATTCCCTTTCGATTTTTTTTTTTTTTCAGGGGCTGTTGGAGAACGAGTATATCGGAACATCATTTGCTGTGGGGCAAGTGAGGTCGATATCAGGTTATCAAGCCCTCCAAAACGAGTACGATATATCGATGAATACCAATTCCAAGTGGGCAAATTTACTCATATTGTTTCTTATGGCTGTTGGTTATCGAGTTCTTGTTTTTATTTTGCTGAAATTTCGTATGAGAAAGACCTTTTCTCTTCGTTGTTTGTTCCGTTGTAACGAGAATACCAACAATGCAAGATAAAAACCGAGGGACTGTATCGTGAAACTTATGATCCTTCATTTTTGCATCTAATATTTTTGTTTTTCACATCATTTTTTTCACTTTTTTTTTTCGTTTTAGTATTTTTTTGCACTATTATAAAAACCTTTTTTTCTGCATAATATTGAAACATATGAAAAGAACAATTTTTTTTTTAATTTTTTTCGACTGTAATCTATAGACACGTAGGAAACCGTAGTCATCTAAGAAATGCGCGATTCTTCATACGGATACAAAAAGTAAGGAGTGGATGGATCATCAATTGGATTTCTTCGATGTGTTGCCGTAGAGGTAAAGATTCAAGTTCTAAACAAAATGCGATTGTGATCTGAATCTGATCGACGTTGATCGGAATAGATCGAAAAAATGATCGGAAAGATGGTCGGAACTTCTTATATAATCTAACCAATTAACTAACTTCTTATACATGCAGTCTAACTATGACTTTATTGCAGATATTACAAACTCGTGTTTTTATACGAACACATTATATCGTTACCTCTAATAAGCCAGTCGTTGTCGTCATGTCAATGAAATAAAGTGACATCGAATTTCTCCACACATGAAAAATGTGGAATTATTGAGTTGAAATGTGAAGAAAAATCAGATTCAAGAACATCAAATCAAGAAAACAAAAAATATCATCAATAAAGTAATTGACAACCACTATTTTATTTCTTAATAAATAAAAATAAAAGAGAATATCAAAAGAAAAATTCCAGCATAAAAGATAGGAAAATGAATGATACAGACCATAAGGAGAACTATGACCATAACAAATTAAAGTTGGGGATAAGAAGTAAATAATTCTTGAAGAAGGGCGTTAATGAAAATAGCGATTATAATAACTCAAGAATTTTTAATTGATGGTTTTTGCGAGTAAAAAATATCAAGGATGAAATAGTCATTAAAACAATTATATCGATGAAAATTATATTTAATATATTACTCCTTAGAGCTAATCACATAATTAATCAATTGTTAGGGACTTATAGCAAATTTTCTCCCAATAATAACATACTCATTTTATATCCACACCACTTTTTATTGCCTACATTCATTACTCTCTCTCTCTCTCTCTCTCTCTCTCTCTCTCTCTCTCTCTCTCTCTCTCTCTCACATATGATTGAATAGCAAACCAGCAGTTTCTCTGTTAAACTGTCTGTTTAGTTTGGTTTAATTAAAGCAAATTCTAGGTTTAAGACAATTTGACTTGTCATTAATCATTTGATCATACTTAAGCAACCAAAAACTGATTTTAAATGTTCACACACACACACACACATGTATACATATAACATATATATATATATATATATATATATATATATATATATATATATATATATATATATATATGCTGAATTCTTGACCACGTCTATTTGAAAAGAGGCCCCCCCAACTCAAATTCGACACTTTAATCTGTCACAAAAACTAAAACATAGTCCCTTTGTTCGATAAATTAAGCCTTTCCACAATTGAAATGACAAGTTAGTACTGACTTTTCATTGATTCATCAAACTCCCACTCACATGCATTTGTCTCCCAATATATATAATATGTTACACTACTAAAATAAATAAATAAATAAGTAGATAGTAATATGTAAATATAAAAATAAAGAATGAGTATGTAATTAGAGATAAATTATACTTGGGTTTTACTTTTACCGTTGTGCCGAGTTGCGAGTCCAGGAACTTGTTATATGCATGTGTCGTTATTGAAGTTTTCGTGCTACATAGTTGTAAATGCACGTGTCATTATTGCTTACTATCAAAAAGTACTGACAACTTAATCAGAATTCCTAGTACTTTTTTTTTTAATTAAATTTGAGAAAATGACAGAAAAAAGTCCGTATCAATCAGCATAATATTGTACTGTCGCCTAACATCTTATCAGTATCAATGATGTACTGTCTTTATTTTTGTGTCTCTATCCCTCTTCCCCTATATATAACATTAGACCAAATCGAACTCAAACCAAAACACATCTATTTAAAAATAAAAAATAAAAAATAAAATTTCCACCAATGGCAAAAAACAGTTCATCAAATAATATTGGCAATGCGAAAAAAAACATCGTCGGTATAGTAAAGCTCAGAACAGTGGTGGAAAGGCTGCAAAAGAGTCTACTTCGGGCAAAGAAACCTTCATCCTCCGGCAACTTTAAGAAGGGTCATTTCACTGTGGCGGCGGTGGATGAAAACGGTGAGTTGAAGAGATTTATTGTGCCCTTGAGTTTTTTAACGGATTTGTCATTCTTGAGGTTATTGGAGAAAGCCGCCGAAGAGTACGGCTTTGGTCATGACGGAGCGCTGACTGTTCCTTGCCGCCCGGCCGAGCTCGAGCGGATACTGGCGGAGCAATGGGAGGAGGAAAGGGTCTCAGGCGGCGGTGGGGCTGACAAATGGAGTTCATAATAAAACCTCGCTCAGCTGCTGACATGTAACGTGTTTACGTCCATATTTTATCGATTCTTGTTCTCATTAAGTTGCAACTTTGCAAAATAATCAGCCATTTTGTTTAATTTTCATGTGTTAATGTGCAGAAGGTTGCATTATTTTAGCTTGTATCTTTTAAGTGTGTGAGGTTTCGGTTTCGGTTTCCATTTTGGTTTCCCAAACAATAGTAGAGTGAGAAACTAAAAGTGTCACAAAATTCAGATTAAAAAAATTACCAGGCCACGAAAAAAGGAGAAATATGAAGAGGTGGCAGACGAGCTTCATCAACCTGTTCAGAGCACAACCAAAACCTAAAACCCCACCCCAACCATAGCCATGGCTTACAAAAATCGAAAAACTATAACGAACGTAAAACAAGACCATAAAGCCGAATAGAAATGAGTTATTACACAAGAATAATAGTAGTAGTAGGTATTACATAATGTCTGCACTCATCTAATGGTCTACTCCGTATTAATTATGAAATACTAGGGCAAAAAATAAAAGATAAAACATTGCCAAATATTCGAGTACGGCATCATCAAAATTCATATAATTACGCAAAAAAAAGAAAAAAAAGAAAAAAAGAAAAAGAAGAATACGGGCAATACCCTTTTCGCCGTTGGCTGTGACCAAGCGAACTAAGGTAAAACCCAGCAAACATCCATATAAATAAAAGCTAAGTCAAGCTTCCATTCAGCTTCTTCCTGCATAGAGGGTCTTTGAACCAAACATGCTCACAGTAATGACCAAATTACCCTCTTCGACTTTCACCACAACACACGAGAATAGCATATTACGTGCATATCCTCATAGCTACGGCCAGGATCCCTCTCTCTAAATATATCGACTTCTTACAAACCAGCCTTAGCCTTCAAGTGGCGCTTGAAGTCCATGATGCCACCCTCCCACCTAGTCACCGCCTGATTCTCGCACACCCAAATCTCGTGCGCCACCTGGTTAATCAGCCTAAAATCGTGACTCACCAGAACCAAACCACCGTCCCACTCCTTCAAAGCCTCGGCAAGAGAGTCAATGGTCTCGATATCCAAATGATTGGTTGGCTCATCCAACAGCAGCATCTGTGGCTGCCTGTATGCCAGCCAAGCAAAAATCACACGGCTCCTCTGCCCATCAGACAGGTTCTTCATAGGCATCGTTTGGGCTTTGCCACTAATACCGAACCTTCCCACTGCACTCCTCATCTTCTCCTCCTCGGTACCCTGGTACTCCTTCAGCATAAACTCGAGCGCAGACAATTCAACATCAAGCTTCTCAGTCAAGTGCTGGTGGTACTGTGCGATTCTCAGGTGGTTGTGGCGGCGGACCATTCCATCAAGAGGAACCAAATCACCAGTCATCAGCTTCAGAAGTGTACTCTTTCCAGCTCCATTGGGTCCCACAAGGGCAATTCTCGAATCAAGGTCAACACCAAAGTCAAGGTTCTTGTAGATGAGATTATCAGGAGTGTAGCCGAATGTCACTTCGGAAAACTGAAGGACAGGAGGGGGTAATTTTCCAACATCTGTGAATCGGAAAACAAGGACGCTATCTCTTGCCACCTTCTCTGTTAACCCACCACGCTCCATCTTTGCTAGAGTTTTTTCTTTGCTCTGGGCCTGACGAGCAAGCTTGGCAGAACCGTGACCAAAGCGAGCAATGTATTCCTTCATCGAGGATATTTGCTCCTGCTCCCACTTGTACTGTTTCATCTGGTTCTCTTCGAGTTCCGAGCGGGTTTGGACATATTGGTCGTAGTTGCCAGAGTAGATCTTTAGCTTCTTGCTCTGCATGTGAATGATGTTTGTGCAGACTCCATTCAGAAAATCCTGGGAATGCGACACCACTACGAGAATACGGTCGAAGTTTTTCAACATCTCTTCTAACCACACACAAGCCTCCAAGTCTGTAATTGGATAAAATAATCGGTAAGAAAGAACAATGATATTAAAACAACTGAACACCAACAATAATGATTTTGCAACTTTCCCAACTCTCATTTATAAAGAAAAACAAGAAAAGCAATTAAAAGTTGAAAATAATTCATTCAAGCCCTGAGGCCTCACTTCACACCAGCACAAGTGTACAGAGACAAGCTACGCTACACATATATACAACCAAGCAGATTTTACAAACTTCAAAGTATATGTTCCATATGGATAGCAAAGCTTACCAAGATGATTTGTAGGTTCATCAAGCAGCAGTATGGTTGGGTTCATGAAAAGAGCTCTTGCTAAAGCAATCCTCATCCTCCAGCCACCAGAAAAATCTCGTGTTTTCTTTTGTTGCATTTTCTTGTCAAAACCGAGACCAAATAATATCTCAGCAGCTCGTTTTTCAGCTGTTGATGAATCCATTAATTCCAAACGTTCATAAATGCGCTCAAGTGGTTCACCACCACCATCATCCTACAGCCACATAAAATGCATGAGTACTTTACAGAATGCTAATGCTATAAGACACTACTCATTATTTAATATATATTTATACCTGTGCAGCCAATACTTCAGCTTCCCTCTCTAATTTCAGCCTCTCCTCATCACAACTCATAACAGCCTCAAGTGAAGACATGTCAGAAGCTTCGATCTCCCTAGAAAGGTGATAGATATCCATGTGTCCAGGAATTGGAAGCTCCCGGCAACCTAATGAAGTAAGAAGAGTGGACTTCCCACAGCCATTTAACCCAAGCAAACCATAGCGTCTGTAAAAAATAATAGTAAATCAAACATTTTGTAATAATTTAAAGATAGGTAATAACAGAATCAAGGAGGTCCCACATACCTGCCATAATTGAGCTCCAGTTCCGAGTCAACTATCAGATCGTGACCATGGAAAGTGAGTGAAAGAGATTCTATCTGCAAAATAAAAGGACAGAAATTTATCAAGTTACCTTCAATACAGCAATAGAAGTACAAGTGGAACTAGCCATAATGGTTTCACATATTACATACTACAAGGGATTCCAAACAAGTTGACGTTATTCGATACATAATTAACTTCTCTAGGCACATAAAGCTAGCAACAATTAACTAAATACAAGGAACCGGTCTAGAACATGCCTAAAATGAGAAGAAAAAATTACATAATCGACATTATTCAGGCTTTTTCCCAAATGATATTTCACCTAATTACCAAAATTCGACACAACCTGCAGGTAAGTGTGTAATCAATTTCATTGGCTGGTAGATAATGATATCTCAGGTGCCTCAAAGTAAAAACATACGAACTGAGAGCATGTTACACCTCAATCTCCACATGGTTATATTGAACTTTTACAATTAACATTTGGCGTTGAAAACAGTGTCATCAGATCTAACGAAAAAAGAAACTTTAAATTCACACAATTTCAAAATAAATTCATAAATAAACAAATAACAAATTCAACCATAATCGTCCTCGTACAGATACTCGATAACAAAACAAATATACATGAACAAAAACTGCATCTTTCTTCACCATCTAACCAGAGATATTACGGAACAGCGCATATATGTCAAAACTCGCACAAAGGTAATTATAAACGCCTAATAGTAACGGATCGAGAATCGTACCCGAATATCTCTAGACTGGGGATGCGAGCAGAGGACTCCGGTACACGTCCGATCAGATATATGAAGATCTCCGACTCCACTGGCCAAGCTATCTACTTTGCTGCCGTTCTCAGCAGCCTTAGACGAGGCGGCGACCGCCACAGCCTTTCCTCCTCTCTTCGCAGCAGCCGCCGCCTTCTTCTGAGCCGCCTTCTTCTTACTCGCATCCGAAACCATCTGCCGAATAGCAAAATCCAATCCGTCAACGTGTGAAATCAAAAATCAAAAATCCAAAAACCACAGGACCAATAATCGAATCGCGTGAAGAAAAAAAAAAGGTAAATTGAATTGATGAAAGGATTACCTTGAAAAATCTCGAGGGTGTTAAGATCTAGGGTTTCGTTTGCGCTACCGTTTTGCTCGGACAATAGTTCTGCGGCAGTGCGTCTGTTGGGAAAGAGTCCGAGTATGAGGGTTTGGGTTTGGGGCAACGGGTTAAATATATAGGGCTCTGTGGGTGGAAGGTGGGACGCGTGGCGTGCAGTTAAGGGTGCCAGATTAAATTTAACGGTGATGATGCTTTAACAAGGATGAATTGCGTGCTTCATTAGACTACCCAAATTGTTATACACCACTTAATTATGGGCTTTGGCCCAATAATACGCAACTTCGGGCCCAGTTAATTAAAAAATAGTAACTCAATTAATTAAATAAATCCAAAAAGTAAAATTAAAATTACGCTGCACCCCAACCGCCACTCACGAACAAGCCGCCACCTTGCCGCCGTCCACTATTGAGCTGTAACCACCAAAATCAACTCAACAATTTCGGTTTCCATCGGCAAATTGAGGTAATTTTGACTTATGTTTCTTGTTTATAAGCTATTAATCGGCGTATATGAATTTGATTAATCTTTCAGAAATTAAAATGAATGCACTCTTCTTGTTCGATGAAATGCCCCTGACAATGTTTGCGGTTTGAAGTTGATGTTTCGTTACGATTCAGTGTTTTCAGACTGTTTCAACTCGGAACCGGTGGTCTGTCACCTCCCATCGTGTAAATTCAATAAGAAATTTGATTAATTGATCAAATAGTAACACTGAGTAAGAATAAAAGCAAAGTTTATTTTCTACTGGTATTATTTTATTTTATTTAAATTATGGTGGAGATTTTGCATTTGATACAAGTGATTAATTAAACTTATCTCTTCTTGAATTTACTTCATCCATTCGTTGTCTGCTTTTCGCTTTTGGTGATCATCTGTATTTTATATTAGTTATGTTGGCGTCATTATATTTTTGTCGTGTTGGGTTATTTTGAAATCTACGGTTCGTGTTTGTTAAACTGAATTCACGTGAAGTGAATCCTTTTCCTTGATTATGAGGTTATTGCCGAATCGGCTATTACCCTTTCATTTTCTTTTTGTCTGATTCAATCTCTTGCCTTGGTAGATGCTTTTTTCGATGCAGAGGTTAATTAACTTAAATGTCAATACAATAAAAACGAAAGGTTTGGTCCCAGTTAGTATTTTCTTCATCGATCTGGTTTATAGAAGTTATTAATTAGAAGAAGTCAGTATGCCTATTTATCTTATATTATATCTACGTAATTTGTTCGATTGCTTTCTATTGACTTAGATAGAGCTAAAGAAGCTTATTCGTGAGAGTAACATGTGAAACGTATTGATTATGATTCATCTTTTCTGCAATTAACCGATAAAATCTATTCTAACTGTTAAGAAAATTGATTATAAAATCATACATTCATCAAGGATGTGGTTATTAATGGTTGGTGCATCTTTTGTAAGCATATATGTGGAATCGACTCTCCTCGATATATATATATATATATATATATATATATATATATATATATATATATATATATATATATTACGTGGAAATCACCAAGTTGGGAAAAACATTATTTCGGCGGCCAATTTTTATCGCGCTAGTCGAACGGATGGTAGAACAGTTCAACCGGTTGTTACGAAAATACTGATATGATGATTTTTTTTTTTCATTAAAAACTTCAGTTTCACTTCGTATATTACCCGAACATATGAAATTAGCTCACTGTTTTCCTTATTTTTCGGCTACAGATTAATATTGGAGGAATGACACTGCTGAAAAGATACGTACTAAGACTGTTCATCTCATTGAAGTACATCACTGCAAATGTGGTAGACAGAAACAACGGGAAAATAGTAGTAACCGCTTCAACAGTCGAACACGCACTAAAAAACACACTCGAGTGTGGCCGTTCTTGCAATGCAAAGGCAGCATCAGTTGTCGGAGAAGTGCTGGCAATGAGGCTCCGAGTAGAGGGTCTTGAACATGGCCAAGGAAGAGGAATCCATGTCGATGTTAATAAAGAAATCGAGAAAAAGGGTTTCAAAAATCGAACCAAAATATGGGCTATTGTAAATGCCTTGAAAAGCAACGGAATTAAGTTAATTCTCGAAGATGAGGATAATACTGGTCCAGAGTCCAGCTCTAGATATCGAGAAGGAGACGAATTTATTAATACCAAAGATTGACGTCGACGAGTTATCTCGTTCTCAGGTATTTTGCTTAAAAATTTCTTCTTTTTCTTTTTTCGTAGTAAAAGTCGAATTTTGAGATATTATATACATGTTTTTCCTCTGCATCGGATGATTATGCATTATAGATTTATACACAATCACGCACATATACACGTATATGTATATATCATATATTATTATACATACATAATTATACTACATGCATGCCTATAGTATAGGCACAGCTTTCTAAAACGTGTGCGAAAGTGGGTTAATGCAATTGGTGGCATCATTGTCACCACTGTGGTTAATTATTTCAGAGAGAATCTTAGTTGTTACCCTAGATTATATTATTCTTTTTCTGCATCTTGAAATTCTTGATCTGATTAATTATATCTTAATTAATTATGTTTATTCTATAATCAATTTTATCAAAAATTTTAAACGAGTCCTAAGTATAGGTGCAACATGTTTTTACCACACTAATTAGATAATTAGATTATAATATATTTCTACTGCAAAAATGAAAAGCTAATTTAATTTGTCCATAAAAAACATAAATACTCATATTTATTTATTTTTACTAGTTACACAGTGGATCAGATAATAGTACAAGCATTTGGATTCTCATCACTAAACATTTGAGGGCCGTGGTACGGCCCAAATGCGTACATATTATAATGGAACTGGTCAATAACACCCGGTTCGTATGTATACGGGTACGGGTACCCGACTTGAAACTGAATCTTATTCCCTTCCACCTTCTCCCCGCCGGCACCCATCTCGCCACCATTTCCACCGCCATCTCCGCCGCCGCTCTTCACCTTGTCTCCTCCGCCTCCACTCTCCCCCTTGCTACTCCCGCTCTTCACCTTATCCCCGCCGCCGCCACTGTCCGCCTTGTTATTGCCGCTCTTTACCTTATCGCCGCCGCCAGCCTTCCCCTTATCGCCGCCGGTATTCTCCTTCTTCTCAGCCTCCTTCTTCTGCGGCGGCGGCGTAACTTCCACCTCCCTCTTGAGATGCTTCTTCAGCACTTGGGCTAATCCCTTCATGTCAATGGCGCCGGTAACCGTCACCATCCCCTTCTGCCGGTCAACCTTCACATCCTGGTACCCTGCAAAAACGACGCCGTTAAACAACCACACGTGTAAACGTCTGCCGCCGTTAAGATATATATGAAAAAAAAAAAAAAAAAAAAAAAAACCCACCACCTTTTGTTTTGGTGACCAGTTTACAGATCTTCTGTATGCAACCCTCGCAGTGTAAATGCACCTTCAGCACCGCCGTCGAAACAGGAATCTGCAACACAAAAAAATAACGTCAACTTTAATTTAATTAATTCAAAATTATGCTAATTAATTACCTCTTTTTGCTTGGACTTTTTCTCGTCGGAATTTTTATTTTTCGAGTTTTTGTCGTCTTCTTTGCACTTGTCTTGTTTTGCATTGTCGGCGGCGCTGCCGCTATTTTCTTTACATTTATTACTACCTTCATTTTTATTGTCGTCTTTTTTGTTTTGCGTCGGCGAAACGAGTTCGATTTTTTTGTGGGTTTTCTCCTCCACCCTTTCCCGGAGCTTCGCCGGATCCACCTTCCCCACCACCGTGATCCGCTGCCCGTCGCCGATATTAGCATCATCCACACCATCGAACGAGCGAATGCACTTCAACACTTTGTGAACGCATCCTTCACAATGCAAGTCAGCCTTCAACACCACGGTGTTGACATTGTTCTTGCCGCCGCCACTGCCGCCATTCTCCGGCGGCTGACCACCGGTTTTCTTCTTGTTGGTCTTCTCAACCATTTATTAAATTTAAAAAAAAAAATGTAGGAAACTGCTACTCAGTGTTGAAAAAACTGTACTTTATATATAGTTAGAGGAGAGAGAAACAGAGAAAAAAAAGGGTGGTTAATTAATGGGTAATGGTTTGTTAAGAGGAGTCATAGTGGAACTGTAAATTTAGGAACGTGTCTTAATAATGATGTGTTGTAACCTGCACATGTGTATTTGCAGGGGAAGTTGCTTTTTATTTGTTTGACTGGGACCCACCATCCACCACCCACCACCCAACACCCACCTAAATATAATAATAAAAAATTAAAAAAATAAGGGGTTAAATATGACATTTATCTCCCTTGAACTAACCATCCGTTATGTGCTCCATCCATTATATGTGATGTGGCAATCCAATATATATGACATGTCAATAAATTTATCAAAAAAAAAAAAAAGACATGTCAATAAATCTGCCAATTTAACGTCTCCATTGACCATATGGTTCTTTTTGGACGAAATTACCCTTGTTGTGTGTATATAAATTGTCAATAAATTTTAGAATTCTTTGCATCCATTTTTTTCTAAATATTTTTTATTTATATTTGTCCTATTTCTTTATCTACTAACTCATTACATTTAGTAAAAAAAAAAAATTTGTTCTTTAATAACAGAGTTAAAATTAAATTGGAGTGGAAATTAAAAAAAAAAAAAAAAAAAGTGTACCACATGCAGTAAAAAAATAATAGGGTTAGTGGGGTTGTACTACTTTTCAGTTTTAACTCCCATTATGATGATTTAATTTTTCTAATGTCACGTAGAACTTATTTTCTTAGAATAAACTGAGGGTAGTTAGGGGATTTTAACTGAAGAATAATTATATTCTTAATATCTATTTAAATGCATGGGACTCGAAATATTGATGGACAATAAATTAATAAATATTAATAATTGTACGAATTATTTCGAAGCAAATACCATTTTCAATCTTTATATTGATCCAATTGATCCATACAATTGTATGATGTTCGAATTTTTTATCTTGGAAGGTCGTGCATCGCACGGGTGAAAGAACTAGTTATTGTACATACGATTCTATTCAAAATAAATAAATTGAAAGAAATAAGTTCAAATTAGAGTGATGTGCACTGCACGTGCTAATTTCTAATAAGTTGAGTTACAAAATTTTAGGTTAGTGCCGAGAGAACCTCTTTTTCACGATAAAAATTGCACCAAATTATAGGTGAATTAATGAAACTATTTACGTGCGCACGGCAGGTACCATATATGTATATATCTAAATTCCAAATTTTAGAAGTTATGTGCTAATTTCTAGTGAAATTGAAAAAAAAATATATGATTCAAATATTTATTTGTTCTCTTTCTAAATAAATGCTATCAAATGTTTAATTTTTTGACATCATTTATTCTATGCGTGATTTACTAATTAGTTAATTTTGAAAGCATGATAAAGCATTAATTAATCCAAAGACAAGCTGTGAATTTATGCTTTGGAAACTTCAATTTGTTAAGTAATCTTTAGCAACATAAACCAATAAAGAATCACCAAATAATGCCTATAAAATAAGGTTTTCAAATTTCAATTGTTACGTTCTAGCGCATTCTTTAGTTTTTTCTTCGAATTTTGAATCGGCGGAAGGCGTCATCCTTTCACCCTCTTTGGCATCGATTGCCCAATAAATCATTTCGTCCCTCTAAAAAAATTTCAATTGTTCAAACAATTTCATCGACAGAAAAATCAATAGAAAAAATACAGAAATCACGAAAATTATACATTGATCGATAAAAATGTTCGAACAAGTACATATAGTCATACGTTCGAATTGCAAAATCGCGTGCGATGAATGTCGATAACTTTTGTTCAACCACATCAAAAAAATCACAAGGTAATTTTATTAAAATTTCAACCCTAAAATCAAAATTTTCTTAATTTCTGACCTAGAATATAAATTATAATTCACACTCTCGTTGCGTTGAAGTGCTTCTGAGTAATAATCAGAACACGAAGAACTAATAATATCCAAAAAAGTGTGTCATCACCAAATACGCAACAATAGTCATTTCTCTTCGATAAGCGAAAATTTTCCAATTAAAATTTCAAATGTAATATAATATTTCTCAAAAATATGCCCTCTAACTTTTTATTTATTTTTAAATTTTTGGGAAATTTTCAATTTTAATAATGTTTCATATATTGAATTTAACCTATGAACATCAGTGTGTGTATCGGCTTGAGTACATTAGACCGGCACGTGCGGAGGGTGATTTGCCTTTACCCTGCGTTTTTTCTTTTTTCTTTTTCTTTTTCTCATTAAATAAGTGAAATTAAATTTATATGCTTATTGTCTACGCAGGAATTCAATTTCTTTCCTTAGGTGACCGAAGCAATATTCAAATTATTGGGAAAATTGCAATAAATGAATTGGCTACAAAATTGGAGAAAATGGGTGCGACAATAAAATTAAAAGTTATAACAATTGAGAGTGCTGACATTGGAAGCAATTCCTGTTTGTATCCACTCCGTTTGATGTACAAGAAATAAGTTTTTTGTCGCAAGAATCATTGTTTTTAATTTTACTAGAAATTAGCACGTAATTTGCACATAACTTTTAAATGTTTGAATTTAAAAAAATATATATATAGTAGGTGCTGCCGTACACATAAGCAATTTCATTAATTCACCTTTAATTTGGTGAGACTTTTATGTTAAAAAAATTGATTAAAAAAGAGGTTCTCTCTACACTAACATAAAATTTTGTAACTCAATTTATTAGAAATTAGCACATGTTGTGCAAGTTACTCTAATTTGAATTGGTTTATTTATACAATCGTCTCAATCAATTAAATACTAGCATTATGCAATCGTTTGGATCAATTAGATCAAGATAACTTCAAGTAAATTAATGTTTTAATTACGAAATTAACTTTAAGACTATACTTATATATATCACATTGGGGATTCCCATTATATTGCTTAGTCATTTATATATTTTGACGAATTTTTTGAACTACCGTAATAATTTGAAGTTTATTCCGTGGGCTGATCCAATTATTTAATTTTGTGAGAGTTTATGTAATTGTTTTGATATTTTCTAATATATATTTGGACTTGCTTTGGATAATTCTGCCCATTCTTGAAATTAAAATTAGTATTGAACCCCAATTTGAGTTTATTCCGTGGGCTGACCCAATTATTCCCTTTTTTCATGATTTGTGATTTTGAGCAAGTGAATAAATGAAATTAATCTCCACATAATTTAATTAATATTACTTCAATGTTAATTATTAGAAATCATAAAAGTTCCAACACTAATTTTAAAAAAAGAAATTAAAAATAACCTTTTGCATCTGCAAGGTGAGCCAACACAGATTGCATGCAGCTCTCGCACGTTTTTTCGATGTCGAACACCAGAGTGAGGGTTGGATTAGGTCCTCCATAGTTACTTCCCGATATCTTTTCTCGATTTTCCTCTCTTTTATTTTTAATTTTTAATTTTTTGGTACTGAATATTAATTTTTGTTTCTTTTGAAACTGAAATATTAAGTCCTATTTATAGATGTAATTAACTTACACATATACTAATTAAGAGAAAAAAGAATTTGTACGTTTCTTCATTCCCAAATATTACTGCATGCCACGTGTAGTTGGATTCTTCTAAACAAATGGGCTCCATGTGTTTTATTTCCTTCATAATTAAGCCGAATAAATTTGACCCCATAATTTAATTAACGAAGAAAGCAACTCAGCTTATTAGAAATTAGCACGTGTTGAGCACATATTATGAATGCTGTTCTGGGAATAAATATCGATTGCAATGAATGTAAGAATAAAATGGAGAACATCATCTCATCTACTCCTGCTAATTAATATAATTTTTCGTAATCTTAACAATATTTTTATTATTATTATTATTATAATAATAATAGAAAATTCATTAGATATAGACAGTAATCTTCTTAATACTAATTATAAATAATTAATTTGATCAATACATCATTGTCAATAATTGAGCTTAATCAATTCAAATGTTTGAATAAAGTTTACGAGTTGAAAGAACTTGAGTTTGATTGATTCAAATCTTACGATTAATAATTTTATTTTTATGATTTTTATAAATTATATATTATTATTTTATATGATAAAAATTTAACAAAAGATATTATATGTTCGTTATAGATAGTTAATTCGTTTGATGTACAAGAAACAATTTTTTTGTCGCAAGAATCACTTTTTTTTAATTTCACTAGAAATTAGCACGTAAAATGCACATAACTTCTAAATTTTGGGAATTTTCAATTATAAAAAGAAAATATAGTATGTTATGTGTACCTAAACAATTTCATTAATTCACTATTAATTTGGTGAGACTTTTACTCTAAAAAAAGGTTTTCTCTACTATAACTAAAGTTTTGTACCTCAACTTATCAGAAATTAGCACGTGTTGTGCCGTGCATGTCAATCTAATTTGAACTTGTTTTTTTTTTTTTTTTTTTTTTTTTCATTTTCGATAAAGTCGCATTATTGTACGACACGCAAATTAGTTATAAAATCCTGGGTTGGCCATTGGTTCTGAGTAGGAGTGGTAAACGAGCTGAGTCGGCTCGCGAACTCGATGAGCCGGCTCGACAAAGGCTCGAACTCGAGCCCAAATCTAGTTGTTCGACAGCTCGCGAGCTGCCTTTTTTTTTTTTTTTTTAAATTATATATATATATATATATATATATATATATATATATATATATATTATTCTTATTCTTATTATTATTATTATTATTATTATTATTATTATTATTATTATTATTATTATTATTATTATTATTATTATTATTATTATTATTATTATTATTATTATTATTATTATTATTATTATTATTATTATAATTATTATTATTATTAACTAAATAGTAAATAGTCTATAATAATAAATATTTGTAGTATTTAGATAGAAACAAAGCTATATTACTTAAATAATTCATAATAATATAAAATATTATAATATAATAGAAAAATTAAAAAATATTTATATATAACTAGAGTTCATTATTTTTATTTTTATTTTCCTATAAATAATTTTTAATAAAAAATTAAATGATTTTAATAAAAAAATTAAATAATAAAAAAAATTAAAAAAATTAAAAATTAAGTGAGTCGAGCTCGAGCTCGAGCTCGGCCTGCCCAAAAGACCCGAGCTCGGCTCGTTCCCACCCCTATTTCTGAGTCACATTACACAAAATATACTGGATGGGTGCCATCTATAAACCGAGCTACCAAGGATCTGACGGTTAATCGACAAGTTCCATTTAGCAAAATTCTTCATAACGTCCGATTCTCCTAGGTAATTAGTTCAATAATATATATATTTTTTCTAATTTATTTTCACATGATCTTTCTTTATATATACTGATTACTATTAGTATATAATTGCAGGTGCACCGTCAGTTTCATTTCTTACTAGCAACGGCGTAAGAATGACGGGGACGATAAATTTCAACGGTCTCGTCAAAACATTGCAAAAGATCACCATGGAAGACGAGGATAGTTTTAAGAGGGTATTTGTGTCATTTGACATGCAAAATCGAAGAAATACTCGCACAAACTTGGAAAACCGCATACAAAGATTATACCCCTAATACCAACATTTTATTCATCAAGGATTTATCAAAATAGAGAAGCAACAGCTTTATTAGAACAACATGGCTGCAATACAACAGTAGCACTACAGACACACCAACTTCCCTCAGTACTTACACGACACGAGTATAAAAACTAGAATACGAATACGACGATGTTAACTATATTTTCGATCGGACCTTTTCAATGAGTTCTCTTCTCAGTATCTTTCCCGCTGCTGATTTCGGGACACTGGTTATGAACGTAACTCTCCTTAATCTCTTAAATGGCGCCACCTGAATTAAAAGAAAAAAATCGGTGTACGATTAATCTAACTGCATCAACAAATACTTTTATCGGGTACATTTTTATTAGAATATACTTATAATCAGTGTCGATAATAATAAATACCTGTTCTGCAATAAACTTCTTGATATCTTCTTCAGACAGTGAGCTATTAGGGGCTCGGACAACATAAGCAGCAGGAACTTCACCAGCTTCAGCATCCGGAAACCTAAATAACAATATATATTTAGTAAAAATAAAAGATATATTCACTATTTCGAAAGTCTCGTTGAAGAAGCTTCTAGAAGAAAAAAATCGGGTGCAGTTGACTTACGGTATGACAACGGCATCTGATATCTCAGGGTGAGACACGAGCAGCCCTTCGAGCTCCGCTGGAGCAACCTATGTAATTATTAAAAAAAATATATATTTGTCAATAATCACCAGAAAGTAATTAGTTTTTAAGTAATGATTTAAACTGAGATCAACACATTATTTTTCGAGAGTAATGAATTATTAAGTACCTGATAGCCTTTGTACTTGATGAGCTCTTTAATCCGGTCAACGACAAATAGTTGACCGTCTTCATCAAAGTACCCAAGATCTCCAGTATGCACCCATCTCTGTTTATCGATCGTAAGCTTCGTCGCTACGGGATTGTTGAAATAACCTGAACACAAACATTCAAAAAAATAATAATTATAAAATGCAGATTTAATATAAGAACATATACATATAGTATTATATATAAATATTACCTTGCATCATATTGGGACCTCGAACCCAAATTTCGCCCAACTGGCCAGGTGGCAGAGGCGTTGACTTGTCAACGCTAACAATTTGACACTCGACACCTGGAACAAGCATTCCAGCAGAGCCCGAATGCCTTGGCCCAGAATACGGATTCTCGATAGACACAATTCCGCATGTTTCGGTCATTCCATAACCCTGAAATCCGACACAAATTTCTGAAGATCGTAACTCATAACGAAATAAAAGTTTGAGTAGTTGCAATAATAAAACCGCATATTAGATGCTTGCAAATATATCACCAGTACAAGATGGTTATTTTATCAGAAACTTGATCGATCTTTCAAGTACTGCCAAAATCGAGATTCGTCGTCATACACGCTTAAGATACATGAATTAGACTCAGAAAAAAAAATGGATTTACGTCATAATTTCAAGTCTCGATTTAAAAAATAAAGGCTCACACACAATAAACATGAAGTCAAATATCCGGATTGTATTCAGCCACACGAACGTAATTAATAGCATTGCATAAGGCACCAAACAGTATAAGTGGAAATTTACTCACATCTTAAATGTTGTGTACATTTAAACATTTATGCTATTACACTTAATAATTTAAAATTTAAATGACCATAAACAAATTACAGCAGAAGCTCGATAAATTAATAGCCTCGCTTAAATAATAGTTTCTTCTGATCCCGACTCGGTAAAAACCTACTAAATTATTAGTTTGATAATTTAATATTTCGCTAAATTAATAGAATTTTGCTAGTGACCGACTATATTAATTTAAAGAGGTTTAACTGTATTACCTGACAAACAACGGCCTGAGGGAAGTTATTCGCACATTCTTGCATCAATTCCCTACCGAGGGGGGCCGCCCCCGACGCGATCTGCTTCAACGAAGACAAGCTGTACTTCTTCACGATGCTATTTTTGGCCAATCCGAGTATAATCGGAGGTACAACCCACATATGCGTGATCCCGTATTTATCCACAGCCTTCAATATCATCTCCAAATCGAATTTCGACATCGAGACAACCGCGCTGCCGCGCTGGAGCTGCGCGTACATGATCACAGCCAGACCGAACACGTGGAACATCGGCAGGACACACAGAAACACGCCGTTCGTCTCGGAAACGGATTCCTGATCTGTGGTGATCATCAGAGAGGAAGCGATGAAATTCCGGTGCGTGAGTACCACGCCCTTGCTTATGCCCGTGGTGCCCGACGAGTACAGCAATGCCGCGGTGTCGTCTTGTTTGACGGCTCCGTCTAAATTCACGGATCCATCGTTGTCAACCAGCTCGGAAAATGAAGTGATTGATGGGATTTTTCCGATTGGTGAAACTGAATCCCATTTTTTGTCGGTGTTTAGAATTATAACGGGCAGACCGAAGTCCTTTACCTTTGGGATTAATTCTTCGACGGTGATTATGAGCTTGGATTTGGAATCGTGAACCTGTTTGGATAACTCCGACACGGTGTAGAGAGGGTTTACGGTGGTGGCGATGGCTCCCACGGCGACGATCCCGAGGAAACAGAGTGGGAACTGGATTGAGTTGGGGGAGAAGATGAGTACGACGTCGTTTTTCTTGACGCCCAATTGGAGTAATCCTTGGGCGACTTTGTTAACCATGGATTTGAACTGGGCGAAATTTAAGGTTTCTCCGGTGTGCGAATCGACGAGGGCTCGTTTGTCGGAGAAGGATGAAATGTTTCGGAAGAGGAAGGAAACCATGGAGATGTTTGGATCTTTGGGTGGGAAAAACGGCGGACGGAGTGATCTGTATACGCCGTCGCGGCCATAGCCGGATTTCTCCATTTTTTCGTTTTCCGGTGGGATTGATTAATTTATCCGGCTTTCGTGGAAGATTATTAGTGGTGCAGTAGTGGATTGATTGAAGTATCTAAAATGCAGGATTGTGAACAACTGGATATAAGGAGAGAGGAGTAATTAATTGATCTCAACAAGATTTGGCATTTATATAATGTATTGTTGACTTTTATTCATTTTTATTATTTTGATTAATTGTTAGTATTAATTTTCATTTTTATGGTTTGTTGTACCATATATCTTGAATAACATAAGATGTGCATTTTATTACTATTATTATTGCAATTTATTTTTTTCAAAAATAAAATTGAAATCAAAATACTTTATTGTAATGGTCCTGGGAGTGACCGACTGACCATGCAAAATCGTGCAATAAGTCTTCGGTTACATTAATATTTTATTGAATAGTCTGGCAAATACTTCTGATAATTACACAACTCCCCTAAGCTGAGGTTAAATTAGAAAAAAAACCTATTATTTTGGATAATTACAACAATCTCATTAACTATGTATTTTTCTTATATGTCCATCGTTATGCTGTCAAATTTATCTACTGAAATTGGTGTTTTTTCGTACGACTATGCAAAGTTCAGGGAGAGTTGTAATTAATCAGACATGAGAGTTTTTTTCGTAATTTGATCTTACTTCTATGGGTAGCTGTAATTCGCAATAAATATGTTATGTGGGCATTTTTTCGCCCACAATGAGAAATAGATAAAATCAGAGAGCCCAATATGAAGATTATGGGCTGCCAGTCAACTAGCTTCTAATTGGGCCACTGGGCCCACTATGAATAATTATTTAATTCAAAACTAAAAATTTATAATTATAATTTTTATTTTTATTGCAAGTCAAAAAACAATTTCGAAACCGGAGAAATAAAATCTGGAACACATGGACTCATAGTACAAAGTACAAACTACACAAGCACTATCTTCACCGTCTTCTTCTCAAGGTTAGCATTTCTCTCTCTCTAACTTTCTTTCTCTCTCTAAAAATCATTCGCAATGGCTTCTTCATCACTCACTGCCACCTCCGCCTTCCGCCGCCTTGCCACCACCTTTCAGAGGCCGCGCCTTCTAAATCCACTGATCACTCACTTCACTCTAAACCCTAAGGTCTCCAATCGGGGGAAATGAAACACCGCCTTTTATTTCTGATCGACGATTTCACTTCCTCGCTCTCACTCCCCAATAATATAATTTGTCTTTTTTTTCTAGCCCTAATTTAATTAATTTAATTTTTTTTTTCTTTTCTGTAATTTCTCGCAGGTTTTCAATCAGCCGAGGAGATTTATATCTACAAGTATAGCGATGGCAGCCAAAGAGTCGGCGGATCTAAACCCAGGACTCCACACTTCTGTGGATGAGGCCACCAAAGGCTATTTCTTGCAGCAAACTGTGAGCTCTCGAATTTCCGATTAATCGAACTTGTGTTTGATTGCATTTTTGAAAGTTTTCGCATTGTTGTATTATCAGCATCGGCAAGTTTGTTTGTTGAATGTTCGATAAACCCCAAACCGTTATAGTTTGTCATTAATATAGGATAATGCGTATGTTTATACATACTTAATCCTATTGAACTATGGGCTGATACTTGTGTTTTTCCGGATTCAGATGCTTCGAGTGAAGGACCCCAAAGTCAGTCTTGATTTCTACTCTCGGATAATGGGCATGTCGTAAGTATTCTCGAGTTTCTTTAGAACGAAATTCCCATTTTATCCTTTTAAGTATATTGCAAAAGTTGTTCTTCTGGTTTCTTCAAGCATGCTCACATCGTTCTTTTGTTTTCGTATAGTAATCCTACTTAGGTGTTTATTGTGTAACTATCTGTACTGCAATTATCACCTGCAAGTGCTGCGGTTAACTGAAGTTTTAATGGTATAAGGATTTTAGCTTGGTTTCGTAAACTTTAGTATTATCTTTCTACGATATCAGCATCGCTTGTTGGTTATGATGTTATTACTTAATTCCTTCATTACCCCGTAAAGGAAAAGGCCAATGTAGCTCCTTATTTGTGTAATACATTTCGATACTATCGATAGACCATCCTATATTGACCCATTCTTTCATTTTCATACCACTTAGTATCGTGCCACCAACCAGTCAAACCGCAACCCTTTCTTTGCACAATCTTATACTGGCTACACGTTTTTGCAATTATTTTTTGCGATGCAGTTTCCTTGTCCCAACTTTTGGAATTATTGACGATAAAGTTAACTCAATCTTCTTTATTATTTTCTTTTTCGACTACAGGTTGCTTAAACGGTTGGATTTTGAAGATCTTAAGTTTACCTTATACTTTTTGGGATATGAGGTGAAATTATCATATAATTCACTAAAATTATGTTGAAATTTCCTAGGTTTTTTTTCTAGTTCATGTAATTGTATGTATGCGTTTTCATGTATCTGGTCTTTCGGTGTCTTAGGAAACATCATCGGCTCCTAGTGAAGCCACTGAGCGCACTGCTTGGACTTTTGGACACAAAGCTCTTCTTGAGCTTACTCAGTAAGTGCTAGCTTCTTTTTTATGTTGTAATAAAAAAAAAATCTTGCTGGCGAATATTTTATGAGACCTGAGTATCACATTTTATTGCAGTAACTGGGGTACTGAATCTGATCCCGATTTCAAAGGCTATCATAACGGGAACTCAGAGCCTCGTGGTTTTGGTATGTCATATTATCTTTTTATGTGTATGTTACACGTATGAATGCAAATGTTTGTCTGATTTAAGGAATGTATAAGATGATTTTGATTTTGTTTACCTTTGTAATATTCCGAAAACTAACACGTATTGTTGGCCTCTTGCAGGACACATAGGTGTCACCGTCGATGATGTACACAAGGCGTGCAAAAGATTCGAAAGTTTAGGTGTTGAATTTGTGAAGAAACCCGATGATGGTAAATTTATCCTTCCAACTTTATATATAAAATATAAATGAAATTCTTTATAGATGTGTGGATTATTTCCAAAAATCATTTTAATTCAACTAGTTTTTATAATTTTTTTGTTTTTTTGATTATTTCAGGAAAGATAAAGGACATAGCATTTATCAAGGACCCCGATGGCTACTGGATTGAAATCTTTGACACTACAAACATAGCCAAAACAACTGCTCATGCTGCTGTTTAATCTTATTTTCGAAAATTGAAATGTTTCGGTGTTTTTTTTTAAATAAAATAATATTTGGTCTCTTTCTTTCTGAATTGTCGGACAATATTAAGTTACATAAACAAAACTGAAATGATTTGTGCAGGCCAAAATTAAACATTCAGGCACATTTTTTACCATTCTTCAAAAAACAAAAAGTAAAAAAACTCAAAAACTCTCTCAACCTTTCGATTTTCTTTCGCAAAGCCCGTGCAAATCGTCAACAGATCGGAGATAATTTTTACGTTTTTACGATCCTCTTGTTATGTAGATTACGAATCCGGAAAAAAAAAAACGAAAAAAATCACACGTTGGCCTGCTCGTGTGAATTTACACGAGCGCATCCACTGTGCTCGTGTAAAATCCACACGAGTAGGCCTTTTTATTATTATTATTATTTTTTTTAATTGCTCGTGAAAAACACACGAGCGGT